GGAATTGGAAGTTTTGGAGGAGGTGGAGGGCGTGGGTGGTGTCACGGACGTAGGTAGGGAGTTCCTGGACCAAGGGGGAGAAAATGGAGTCGAGATAGGTGGAGATAAGTTCGTTGGGGCAGGAGCAGGTGGAGACAATAGGTTGACCAGGGTAGTCAGATTTGTGGATTTTGGAAAGGAGATAGAAGCGGGCGGTGCGGGGTTGGGGAACGATGAGGTTGGAGGCTGTAGGTGGGAGGTCACCTGAGGTGATGAGGTTGTGGATGGTTTGGGAGATGATGGTTTGGTGATCGGGGGTGGGGTCACGATCAAGGTGGAGGTAGGAGGTGGTGTCGGAGAGTTGGCGCCTGGCCTCGGCAATGTAGAGGTCAGTGCGCCATACTACAACTGCGTCTCCATTGTCCGCGGATTTTAGGGTGAGGTTGGGATTGGAATGGAGGGAGCGGAGAGCTGCACATTCCGTGGGGGAGAGGTTGGAGTGGGTGAGAGGGGTGGAGAGGTTGAGGCGATTGATGTCACGACAGCAGTTGGAGATGAAGAGGTTGAGGGAGGGTAGGAGGCCTTGGGGTGGTGTCCAGGCGGAGGGGGTGTGTCGGAGGCGGGAGAAGGGGTCAGTAGGTGGAATGTTAGGCTCTCGGTTAAAGAAGTAAGCGTGGAGGCGGCGGAAAAACTGTTCAACGTCCAAGCATGAGCGGTTTTCGTTGATGTGTGGGTGGAGGGGGACAAAGGTCGAGCCCTTTACTGAGGACTGACCGTTGACCCTCAGTAAGGGAGAGGTCTGGGGGGATGGTGAAGACTCGGCAGGGCTGGGTGCTATTGTCTCCCTTGGAGCTGCTGGCTGTGGAGGTGGTGAGTGGAGCGACTTCGGCGTCGGTGGTGGGCGGAGTGACGGCATCGGTGTCGATGGTGGGCGGAGCAACGTTGGGTTGGAGGCGGCGGCAGCAGTGTCGGCAGGTGCGTCCTCAGTGTCTGTGGTGTAGGCCTCGGAAATGGAGGCGGTGGCATCAGCATCACCTTGACCTGTCCGTCCTCCCTGGACTGATCTATCCCCTTCCTAACTCCCCAACTACACTCACCTTTACTGGCTCCATCCCCGCCTCTTTGACCTGTCTGTCTCCTTTCCACCTATCTTCTCCTCTATCCATCTTCTGTCCTCCTCCCCCTCTCTCCCTATTTATTTCAGAACCTCCTTGCCCTCCCCCACTTCTGAAGAAGGGTATAGGCCCGAAACGTCAGCTTCCTGCTCCTCTGATGCTGCTTGGCCTGCTGTGTTCATCCAGTTCTACACCTTGTTATCTCTGACTACTCAAGCAGCCGATGTTGCAGGATTTTGCTGTATAGTGGTCCCTTCATTTGAACCAAAGAGGCAATTGTTTTGATGGCATCCAGGAGAGAAGGCTCTCTAGTTTGCATTACTGACTGCTTCAACTTTTGGATGGCCTTCTGGAGGGGCCACCACATGAGACACAACTGGCAGTTACTTATTGGCACCAAAAGTGCCACTAACTAGCCCAATCTCTAAAGTGTTGTCTGCATTCTGTGCATGTCAATATATTGCTTCTGTATCAACTGTGAATATTGTGGCATGCATTCTATTATGTTGTTTATCCTCTTTCTGGCGAATGCTATACCCTAAAGGCCCTGAGCCATAGTTATGTGCAGGGGGAGGCAAAGGCTTTGTGGTATTATCACTTGACTGTTAATCCAGAGACCCAGGTAATGTTCTGAGGACCCATGTCAGATGGTGGAATATGAATTCAGTAGAAAAAAAAATCACTCTGGAATGAGGAGTTTAATGATGACCATGAATCATTGTTGATGGTCAGAGAAAAACCCATCTGGTTCACTAATGTCCTTCAGGGAAGGAAAATGCTATCCTTACCTGGTCTGGCCTACATGATGGGGGATCTAATTGAAACTTACAGAATACTGAATGGCCTGGACAGAGTGGATGTAGGGAAGATGCTTCCATTGGTAGGAGAGACGAGCACCTGAGGGCACAGCCTTAGAATAAAGGGAAGACCTCTTAGAACAGAGATAAGGAGAAACTTCTTCAGCCAGAGAGTGGTGAATCTGTGGAATTCACTGCCACAGAAGGTTGTGGATGCCAGGTCATTGAGTATATTTATGACGGCGATAGATAGGTTCTTGATTGTCAAGGGAATCAAGGGAAATTGGGAGAAAGTGGGAGAATAGGGTTGAGAAACTTACCCGCCATGATTGAATGGCGGAGCAGACTCGGTGGGCTGTGAATGCCTTAATTTCTGCTCCTATGTCTTATGGTCTTACATGTAACTTCAGACCCACAGCAATGTGATTGATTTTTGATTGCTTGATGGGCAATTAATCCTGGCCTGGCCTGGCCTCGCCTCATCCCAGCACAGAGAGCCATTCAAACTATCGAGTCTATGCCCATGCCTCCATTTCCACCCATTCTTTCCATTTTGTTTTTGAAACGTTTATTCAGTTTCCTTTTGAGCACTGATTTGAATCTGTACCCACCACAATAGTAGGGAGGGAATACATTGTAGATTCTAACTACTCTTTATGTGAACATTTTCCTTGTTTTCTCTCAATTTCCTTTAGCAATCAACTTAAATGTAGTTAAACATGAGCCACTTGATTTATCAACAGTTCAACAACCTGCTAACAATTTCTGTTTATCGAACCCTTCATAATTTTATTCACGTTCATCAAATCTATCGGGTTTCTTGGCTCCAAGGAGGACAATCCCAGCTTTTCTGACATCCTTTTATCCCTGGAACCATTCTCTGATATCTCCACTGAACCCATAATGAAACTTCCATGCCCTTCAGAGTTTTATAGTTATAGTATAGTATAGCAGTTTAGTTTTAAATTGATTTAGCAAAAACTATTTGCTTTTGTACTCTATGCTTCTGTTTGTACAGAGTCCTGCCTGGCTTCGCCTCCTTGGAAGTGGTCAGTGAGGATGCTCTGTCAAATCAGGGGCAATAAGCGGGTTTCAGAGTAGGTACATTCCATTTGTGTAGTTAAGGATATTGCAGAGTGGCATTGCAGCCACTAAAGCCAAAAATTCAGTTGAGTCAGGGACACTGGGGCTCATGGAGTACATGGCACACACTGACGTCCCCATGATCATTAGGCACCCACTTGAGAGAGGAGTAATTCATCTCAAGCCCAGGACCCTAATAGTATGGTTCCTGGTGATGAGCACAGTCCTCAGCACCTCCTTCCAGGCCTTGCCCATGACACCACTCTGTCTCAGGGATCTCTGACGTATATGTCCATATCTGTCATTGCTGGTCAAAGTATTGTGACTCTGAGGGCCCTGCATTTGCACCAAGCTCAACATGGTTGTGTTTGTGCTTTATTCTCCAAGAGTGACAGCTGTTCACTACCACTGTGCAGTTCACGCCATCTTCAAGGACGAATCGCTATGTATAACAGCGAGCTGGGGTATTCCTCCTATAGTGGAAATCCTTTCCTTTGTATTCTCTGCCACACTTTCCTGCAAGGCTAAAAGAGAAAAAGAAGTTATTGCTGGCCTTTCTGAGCAATCCAGCAACCTATCTACTTCAACTGGATCTGTCAGTGATGCCAGGTCCTCAACAACACTGAGCTTTTCTCCAGTGTTCAGGATCTGCATGTCATATTGGTATCTTTAGTCAATGTGTCTATTGGAAGCTGCGAACCTAGAAATCTATCATTAACATCCTGAGTTGCAGCCGCTTCTACTGAATGAATTAGGTAGCTGAATCTCTTGCTGTTGTGCAGTCAGTTCTTTTGAAATGCACTCTGGCCATTGACAGTTTTGGTTGCCTCCAACCACTCCTCTTTAGGTTGGATAGGCAGCCTTCTCATTACGCCGCCTAGAAAAAGCATGTCTCTCCTTTCCAATTGCAGTCTCCAATTGGATTTTGAGATCCATATCAGCGAAGTGAGGGCCTTCCTTGCTCTGGGTGCTGGATCTCTCCGACGACTCCTGTTGCCTTGGTATGTGTACTTTGTATCAAGCTGGCTGTTTCAATATTGGATGCTGTGTTGCCTTTAAATCAAGCAGTTGTTTAGAGGTCTTGTCTCCATCTCAAATCATTGTTAACTGACCACGCCTCTTGGATAATTGTGGGCTGTGGCTGTCTACTTTCATGGGGTATTACAGGACATAGAAAAGCTTCCCACATCTGGCTCCTGACTTGAGTGACAATATCCTTTCTTGTGCATCTAATACAATAAATCTGAAGAGAAATTATACAAATGGTGAATTTGTGTTTACTTTCAAGATGTTTTAGGTATTATAAAGTTCTTGAGTAGCTTGGAATTTGCCATACTCAGTACTAAAATGGTTACTTCAATAAATTATGGCAGTTTTTCGCTTGCAGCACAATCTATACTTAATTTTAGAAGATTGACATGACATACCTTGTGAAACAGTGGGAATTGACCATTAGAACTATCTTCATGGAGACTTCAAAGTACTTCCTGATAATCAATGAATGTTTACTAATGGGAAGAAATTTAACTTCCTAAATGTGGACAAAAGTTGTTGCCCTTTGATACACTTCAACATTTTTAGATACAATCATGTCCATGTCTGTGGATTTCCATAACATCAGGCTGACTATAAAAGGGACATTTATGCCTTTCCAATAAGGGGAAGGTCAGAGGCAGAGACAAGTCTAGGAGGTAAATGGTGAAGTTAAGTACCATTCAGAAAATGAATATATGTCATCCCATGTAGGGTAACAGAGGTAAAAGGATCCTATATTCCCCGCTTTATGTCTTCAGTATCATTAAAATTCAAAATATTTCAATCATCTAAAAGGGACTGTCAGTAGGAGAGTTAAGGTGGTGTTGCATTTGTCCTATAGAATTCTTAATAATTAAAAATGGAATAGGATGAGACCCACTCAATATTTTATATGTATAAAATGCTTGTCTAATCGTGAGGTGTACTTAAAAATATTGATCATTGCTAGTCTTCAGTATGGTTTTCTGAAGGTGATTTTCTTTATATATAGGTGTGAATCGGATAACCGCTACCTTGGTAACCCACTCAAAGGAACTTGCTACTGTAAGTATTGCTTTGTTTTTCCATGTAATTGTTTTTGGGGTATCAGAGAGCTTATGAAAAATTAAGTTCCCTTTATTCTTTTATTAAAAATTAAATACAGGGTGAACACTTTTCAATCAAAGTGCTTCTCTTTTTTTTTTACTTGAAATTGTCCTCATCTGAATTTTCCTTGAGGTTTTCTTTAAAATCTCAGTTGTAATGCTATAACATCAAATTCCTGGAAGGATCTATTTACCTTTACAGCCTTCCTAGTACATCAGTTATTTGGTTTAGCTTAGGTTTATTGTCACATGTCCTCGCATGAGTACCATGAAAAGTTTACAAGTCTCTACTTACGGCACCATCTTTAGGTACAAGGTACCTAGGTACAAAGCAGAAAAAATTTTTTAAAATGGTTAAAAATTTAAACATTACAGTCCTACTAAACATTACAGACCTACAGTCTTACTAAAAATTAGAAAAACAAAACAAAACCATTAAACGTTCACCACCGCAGTCCATAAGTGCTCGGCTCGCACTCCTCATAAGGGCTTCAGCTACCCTGCTCCGGGCTCAGTCTCACTCCCTTGCCACCACCTTGGGCTTTCTACTTCCACTGGTGGCCACCTGCCTCAGGCTGCATGTTCCTGCTCTAACTGCAGCTTGCAATGCCTGCTATGACATTGGGAACCTCTCTCGCCAGCATTTTGGGCTTGCCCTCTCCACACTATTAGATTCATCCCAGAATGGCTTTGTTGCAGGTAGCATGGAACAGGTTGTATTTTCTTTTAAGATCACTTTTTCATTCTCATTCATGCAATTATTAGGTGATGAAGTCATACTGTAACAGTGTTTTATGTATTTGTGTAGATTTACCAGGTGTTTAGACTCTCTCAGAAGTGGAATTGGAAGAATTGATAGATATCCTTAACCATTATCAGCCCTACATTAAATATAAAGCCACAATACACAAGGAAAGCATTGGCCAGGATTTAGTGCGAAATGTTAGGCCAGTGACTGAAGCGGCAACTAACTCCCTGTCCCCATGAGTGAGAAAGATCATAGATCAAGCAGCAACTAGGTATTTAAGTACTGTCTAATGAGCTTCTTGTCCAATCAGGAGCTGTGACATTGAAGTCCCACTCTGTCTCAGGCAGCTGGAGAGTGTTGCTCAAAACCAGACTAGGCAGTGATGATGAGCAGATAAGTCTTTTTCATGGGTTGAACTATTGCAGGATTGGGATCAGGAGGGGTTGGAAATAATGGCATGAAAGTGATTTTGAGTAACCAAACACCTGTCCCCATTGTTGCCCCCAACACATGTACATTGGGTAAATGGAACCTCCCCTTCTAAAACCAGCAGACAGGCTGCCTGGTTTTCTCTCTCAGTAAAACAGTCACCTATCCTGGCGGCTGGGAAGACACATAATCACAATGGTTTTGGGTTAAGATCCTTGCATGGTTTTTAATTGTCTACTTAAGGGACTTGATCTGTGGCAGGTTGAGAAAATCAGTCATGGACCTTCTCGTCAAGAACCTCCTTACTGAGGTGGTGTGAAGTGTGACACTGCACTAATTAATTTATCTTTCCTGTCAACATCCTACACCCTCACCTTGCAGCAAGGGGAAAATCACATCCATTGATTTTCCAGACACCACAGCATTTAAATTGGCACAAGACCATTGGCAATTAGCAGCAGAGGTTTTTATCAAAATAACTAGCAAACATTTCCACATAGAAAAAGCCAACACACTAAACACACCTTCTAGATTGGTAATCTCATAGCTGATGTGTTTCAGTCGCAGATCCACAAACCTGAACCTTTTTACCCAGCCAGTTACTATCTTTTTTTATTGTACCTCAGATATCAAACGCAGATTTAAATTTAATATTTAGCAGGTCATTGTTCACATCAACTCTAACCTCCCAGCCTGCCTCGATCCCCTGCACTTTGCCTACCAACAAAACAGATCCACAGTGGATGCCCAACACTCATCCCTGGAACAATCTGGATAACAAGGGCACCCACGTCAGGCTCCTATTCATCAACTACAGCTCTGCCTTCAACACCATAATTCCCTCCAGACTAATCTCAAAACTCTGAGACCTAAGTCTCGGCTCCACCCTCTGCAACAGGATCCTCAACTTCCTGATCCACAGGCAATCAGTGAAGATAGACAACTGTACCTCCTCCATGATAACCCCCAACATTGGAGCCCCCCAAGGATGCATTCTCAGCCCTATTCTGAACGAACACAGTTTACAAGTTTGCTGACAACACCTCCGTGGTGGGACAGACGTCAAACAGTGATGAGTCAGAGTACAGGAAGGAGATCGAGACCTTGGTGTCATGGTGCAATAATAACCTCTACCTCAATGTTAGCAAAACAAAAGAACTGATCATTGGCTAAAGGGAAAAGGGAGGAGGACACGACCCCATCTACAATAACTGAGTGGAGGTTGAGAGCGTCAAGTTCCTAGGAGTGACGATAACCTGAGTGCACCAGTTTCCTCCCACAATCCAAAGATGGGGCAGTTAGGTTGATTAACCATGCTAAATTGTTGCATAGTGTCCATGCCTCAAAAAAACCAGAAGTGAGGTGATCCAGCTCAACGGACACCAGGGTTTAAATAACAGGCGGGGAAATACAATGGCGCTTCATCAGAGGCTGCACTGATGATGTTACCCAGCAGAGTAATGAAACGTCTTCAGAACAACAAACCAGCTTGGCAAGCCAACCAACCACAGGGTTTACAGTTTTTCCAAGAAGCTAAGTTTGGATGGTAGGTAAGCAATAATTATTTCATATCCGTGAATGAGTGGGTACTGCCTTGTTAAGCACATAGTGAACTTTCACCTTCAGAGAAGTATGTCCTCATGAATGCACTCATGTAAAGTGGCTGGACATGTGAAACATGAATGGAGACAAGACCTTATTACAAAGCATTCACATTACGTTTGGTCTCAATGATCTTGTTAAGTTGCAAAATTTTAACTGCACTCATCAATGTAAGGGTTGAAGGATTCCTAAATTCTGCTGCTATCCAGGATGCTTCTCAGAGATGAGTGATGCCTTGCCAATATAACTTCTTTTCTTTTTTTGAAGAGTCTGCTTAACTTCGGCATTGTAGCGACATAACCAGGTACTACAGCAAAAATAACAGTTGATCAATCATCTGACAACTGAAAGTGCATATATATTTATTGATGTGCCAAGTCTATTTCCAATGATGTGTCACCCATGGCACCTATGTGCCCTCAGAGCTTTTTCAATCCCTGCCCTTTTACTATGTCTAGGTGCAGTTGTGGGGTTGCAGCTTGACTGAAGGGACCCTGCTCTGTAATGCATCCTGGTAACCTGGAAGATTTTTATGGATGCTAGGAGCATTTGTCATTAGGCCCAGAGATGATGAGAGTAAACAGCATAGATACAGTCTCACCCTCTTCAGCTGCAACTACCAGAGAGGTCTGAGGCAAGATGGAATTGGAGGGACCCAACACTTGTGGAATGTCCTGACAGGAAACTTCTCAGAGTTCTGTATGTATTTCCTTAAATGCCCGCTGGCACCATCCTGTCTCCTTGAGAAGAGGGGATTGTGGTTGAGGTCCTGGTCACCCTGATGGTGAACAGTGGGAGAATGTAGGTCTGTGTGCATTTAAAGCATCCACTGAGCATTCTGCAAGACTTGGCTTTTCATGGTAGACAACAACATGTCCATGGAGATAGCCAGACTCCTATTGTTGGAGTCCTCTAATCTGCAATCCAGTTTACCAAGGGCCTCTGACAACCTGCCTGTTGCTCCCACGATTGTCAATACATCTCTATGAAAACAGTAATGATAAACGCCATGGAGTCATCTTTGACCATGGGAAATACAGGTAGAGTACAAATAGAGTAAGGAGGCTGGGTCTTGGTGCCCTGGCCGACCCATTGTCTCTGCCTGCTCCTGCCCCACTGAACTTATCTCCACTTATCTTGACTCTATTTTCTCCTCCCAGTCCAGGAACTCCCCACCTACATTTGGGACACCACCCACACCCTCCACCTCCTCCAAAACTTCCAATTCCCTGGTCCCCAACACCTCGTCTTCACCATGGACGTCCAGTCCCTATACGCTTGCATTCCCCACGCAGATGGCCTTAAAGCCTCTGCTTCTTCCTCTCCCACAGGCCCAACCAGTGCCCCTCCACCAACACCCTTATCTGCTTAACTGAACTCATCCTTGCCCTTAACAACTTCTCCTTCAGCTCCTCCCACTTCCTACAGATGAAGAGAGTAGCCATTGGTACCCGCGTGGGCCCAAGCTATGCCTGCCTCTTCGTAGGATACGCGGAACAGTCCCTCTTCCGCAGCTATGCTGGCACTATCCCCCACCTCTTCCTCCACTACATCGATGACTGTATCGGTGTGAGCTTGACCAGTTCATCAACTTTACTAACACCTTCCACCCCAACCTTAAGTTCACCTGGACCATCTCTGATATCTCTCTCTCCTTCCTGGACCCCTCTGTCTCCATCTCTGGTGACCACCTCAACTGATATCTATTTCAAGCCCACCAACTCCCACAGCTACCTAGACTACACCTCCTTTCACCCGCATTCCTGCAAAAATATGATCCCCTATTCCCAATTCCTCCGCCTCTGCCGCATCTGCTCCCAAGATGAGGCGTTCCACTCCCGGACATCCCAGATGTCCTCGTTTATCAAAGACCTTAATTTCTCCCCATCAATGGTCGAAAACGTCCTCGACCGCATCTCTTGCGTTTCCTGTACCTCAGCCCTCACATCCCCTCCCCGCAATAAAAACAAAGACAGTATTCCCCTTGTCTTCATGTATCACCCCATTAACCTCTGGATTCAACACATCATTCTCCGCCACTTCTGACACCTGCAATCTGACCCCCCTATGAAGAATATATTTCCCTCCCCACCTTTTATCTGCCTTCTGGAGGGACCGTTCTCTCCGCGACTCCCTCGTCCGCTGCACACTCCCCACTCCCCACTAGCCCCACCACCCTC